CTAAAAATGATAAATTATCTAAAAGTTGATATTTGAGTAAACTAGGCATATTAAGTTTCCAGTTGACCTAGGAATTAGACTAAACTTTAGACTTAGATTATAGCTTCCTTAGAAATTCCTTTCAACATTTTAAAACTCCTGTAAAACTGTTTTGGTAAATTTGATCTAAATTATATTGTAAATAGTTGAAAACACTTGGTTGCCATCTTCAATCCAAGTTCCAGGAAAACCTCAAGTAACCTCAACTAATGAAACCAGAGCTTTCTCTTTTATTGTTTTTGTTTTTGTTTTGAGATGAAGTCTCACTCTGTCCCCCAGTCTGGAGTACAGTGGTGTGATCTCAGCTCACTGCAACCTCTACCTCCCAGGTTCAAGCAATTCTCCTGCCTCAGCCTCCCGGGTAGCTGGGATTACAGGCACACACCACCATACCCAGCTAATTTTTTGTATTTTTAGTAGAGACGGGGTTTTGCCATGTTAGTCAGGCTGGTCTCAAACTCCTGACCTCGTGATCTGCCTGCCTTGGCCTCCCAAAGTGCTGGGATTACAGGCGTGAGCCACCGCATCCGGCCCAGAGCCTTCCTTTAACTTCATTTTTCCATCTATCCCCATTCTGCTTCTACGAAAATACAGCAAGAGCAATAAAAGCATTTAGTATCAGAAATTGTGAATGATGATTCTGAAAGAGTTGTCTTCTTGCTGTTACATTTGGTCTATCTTTCTACAATGTCTACCAGGGCTAGGTTCTTGGGTATGGGCCTGGTGCACTGTGGGACCTGGTCTTAGCCCTCATTTGACTCTCAGTGCCCAGCCCATTGCAGACTTTCAGGACAGATCACTTAATCCTTGACTCTAGTCACAGCAATATGGTTCCACGCGCTGGCCTCGTGGACCTCAGTGAAGGAAGAGGTTGATGTTGCTCACACTGTTCCCTTTGGGCACTCTGTCAGCTCCTCCTTCCTCACCTCTTGTCAGCATCTGCAGCAGGTGGTATGGCTTTGCTGTCACCTCCAGCTACTAAGGCATCCAGGCCAGTCTACCCAAAGCTGCCTTCCTGCCTCTCACCTACAGCTGCTCTCCTTCCAGCAGTTCTGGCCAGAGCAGGGGCCTGAGTGGCAGGCTCCAGCCATTTCCTCCGGGCTCCACTCCCTCCCCAATGCTTCATTCTCCTCGCTTAGGGACAGGAAAGCAAGATGATGGGGGTGTGAGATAGACAAGGAAAGGCCAAATTCTTCTTTCCGGACCAGGGCCCTTGTGGTTCCCCCCACTGTGAGAGGTCCTCTGTGGTGGTAGGTGTCCAGATGCTCTCCACTTAGAATGCTCCTGTGGGGCCTTCAGGAGCCACTCCGGGGACCTCTGCACTGCATCTTCCCCTGACGTGGGTGACGTGCTCTGACCGACTTCCTCCACCCCACCTCAGCTCTGCCTCCAGGGGTATACACCTCCAGCCTCACTCTGCTGCCTTGCCTTGCCCTGTCTCACTTAGGGACATGGGCCCAACGGGCAGTGACTCCATCCTGTTCCCTTCCAAAGCCTCTGCTTGGCCCCAAGAATGTATTCAAGTACAGACTGCTCAGAAAGCTGCCTTTTCTCTCCCCAGTCACAGGGACTGAAGCCAGCCTTCCACCATGAGACTTCTCCAACTAAGAGGCAGCCACCAGTTTCTGTCCTAGGTACATTCTCAGTGGTTAAGGACACCACCATATTCTCTAGAGCTCCAGTTACTGCTACTCTGGTGGCAATTTGAGGGGGTCTTGAGAATGTCTGCAAGTTGGGGAGTATCCCACCAGAAAAGAATATGCCAGTCTCCCCTCTTACAGAAAACTCTACCCTCTATGAGCACTTCTCTACCTGACTGGAGGGACGTGAACAAGAATATTACTCCTAACCCATCCTAACTGGTAAGAAATGGGCACCAACTCATCAGCATGGACACAGTTATCAACACCCTGACCGGCTGCACTGGCAAATATGCACAGGAACCCATTCCCAGCCCTGTTCAAATCCTAAGGGAGTGAAAATGCCACAGGCCTCTCTGTAAGCCCACACCCTCAGCCTCTCTGACCCTCTTAGGGAATCCCTGGCTTCTCTTCCGCTGCCTGCCTGCGGTGATAGTAACTGGACTAGATCAGCTCTCCAGCAAGACATCACTTCCTTTTTTATAGCCAAGAAAGCTTCTACTGTAAGTATATGCCAATTGTAGGTTTCCAAATAGGAAGAGCCATGCTCAGGAGACAATGAGCTCTCTATCATTGCTGGTGATCAAACTGGATATGAGATGTTTTAGATATCCCCCTGGGTAAAAGGTGGGATGAAAGTGAGAATATTTGTTATTCTGTTAATTACTTGAATATCTTTATTTTTAATTCATGTGATTTGGTTTAGTCTTTGTGCTTCACAGTTTTCTGCAATATTAGTGGATAACAGTGGTCAGGGGGAAGACAATAAACAACCAGCACCCACGACTTGGATCCTGAAGCTATCCTGGAAAGGAATATTTGCCACACTCCTTCAGTCTACCCACACTGGCACCAAAAGATCTCTGGAAGGTGTCTTTAAAACGTAACCCATTTGCCAAGCTACTGGTGTCCTCCATCCACCTGCCACACTGGAGAGAAGCAGCCTCTCCACAAAGCTATTTTCAATTCAATCTTGCATTATGTGGTGCCCTTTCCCATAGCTCTTCATGTAGGGGTGCAGCTTCCAATACGGCAGCGCATGTGGAATCCAGACCAGCAGCTGAATTGCATCTTAAATACATCCCGCTCATCACTCATCCCCTTGATAGCAGTATTACCAGGACTCATACTGCCTGACTCTTTACAGAAAAATGTGTATTGACCCTCAGTCTAGTTTTGCAGTTTTGACTTTTACAAGTGACACTGGAAACAAAAGCTTCTACTTTGTTGAAAGTGCCATTACTTTCAATGGCAAAAACCACAATTACTTTTGCACCAACCCAATATATATCCAGTGTGCCCAATTTTTTTTTCTTTTTTTTTTTTGAGACAAGGTCTTACTCTGTTGCCCAGGCTGGAGTGCAGTGGCACCATCATAGTTCACTGCAGCCTCAAACTCCTGGGCTTAAGTGATCCTCCCATCTCAGCCCCCCAAGTAGCTGGGACTATAGGTGTGTGCCACCGTGTCCAGCTAATTTTTGCATTTTTTGTAGAGACGAGCTTTCACCATGTTGCCCAGGCTGGTCTCGAATTCCTGGGCTCAAGTGATCTTCCTGCGTCAGCCTCCCAAAGTTTGGGGGTTGTAGGCGTGAGCCACTGTACCCAGCCCCAGTATGCCCAATTGTAAGTCAAACAACCTTTCAAATAAACTAGATCAGATATTCATAGACTCCTACAATGCTCCAGATTCTGAAGGAAGACATTTTAAAGGTAAATTCCCAAAAATTAATATGAAATGTTATATATATTTAAATTAATTTTTCCTAAGAATGGAAACACTTGATTTAACTTACTCATGTGCTAGGTGAAATGTGATCACTTAAAGGAACTAATAGTGCCATGAACACAGCAATGTATAAAACTTGCTTAAAAGAAGGGTTAGAAGAAAATACAAAGAGAATATTTAAGGGGTTACCATTGTGAGATAACCAGTGGATTTTCTTATTTTTTTTCATTTTCAATTTTTTGTAATGTAATCGCCTTATTTTTATTGAAAAACCTTATTATAAATAGTTGTGGAAGTATGCTGCAGCTTAATGGCATGAAATACAATATATATAATTTTAAGATCTATAAAACAGGAAGAGAACTTACTTAGGGCCTAGTTTGGTTTTGTTATATACCTTCTTATAATTTTTTGAATTATGTTAATGTATTATTTTTAAATAGATATGAAAAATATACATGTGTGTACACACAAATATATATGTGTTCATTTTGCTCCCTCAAATTCCACTCTTCTGTTTCATTCTTTATATTCATATCCCATGCATCAGATATTGTGGATATGAGGGAGACCAATTAATAGTAATCATCTACACCAGGCCTTGAATTACCATAGAATTAAGACAAAAAGATTGTACAGATGGGAGACTGAAATAAAAGGCTAGGTTGGAGGATATGACTTTAATCAGCAGGCAAATTTTCTTAGTTTAAAAAAAAAACCCTGAATGAAATATATTCCCCTCCATTGTCTCAAGTAGAGCATAACTGAGACAGTATAATTGTCCTATACTGCACTAATACACAAGACATTAACCCCTCATATAAAATGGCACCTACTAATCTAAATGCTCCTCAGCTGCAAACAGCAAATATAACCTTAGGGTGTATGCACCTGCGCATGCAGGGCCTGGTTCTGTACTTAGCTAGGGAGTTGCATGAGAGATGCCTGCTATCATTTGGGGAAAGCTACCTCCGAAGGAGAAAGGAACCCATGCCCAGGTTCTCCCTCCAGCTCACCAATCAGATAAGTCATTTTCCTCTCAAGGGGAGGAGTGAATAAGGGAATAGAGAAAGACTAGGAATGTTACCCTCATCACAAATAGAGAAAGAAGGAAACATCATAGAGAAGATTCCTCCAGAAGACTAGACAAAAATGTAAAACTATTAAAAGTCATACTAAGTGCTTTTAAGAAAATAAACAAGGTACTATGATAAATACCAAGAGTGGAAAGAACTCATACACACTTAAGTTATTTTCAAAATAAGAGTAAAATTCTTTAGTATCTATCTGCAAGAAAAATTATATATACATACATACATACACACACACACACACACAATAGAAATGTAGAAAGCTTAGGATATGTAGCTGCAATTTTGAGGGATATTTATCTTCATATTGTCTATTAAACAAAGAACATTGTTGGAACATGATATAAACTGTAAATGAGCTGGATTACCAAAGTTATTTTTAAGTTTGTGAATCCCTTAGAAAAATTAGCTTAATAAATTTTTTTCAAGATCAAGGTTTGAAACAATGCAGTATCTCAAGTAATACTGCAAATAATCAGTTAAGATTTCTCATTGTTTGCTTACTCTGTTGCTTCTCTGTTGGGAACTTTTCTCATGGAGAAAGCTACCATCGCTTTGAAGAGATATTCTTCATTTGTATCCCAGGCATACTGAAAGAGAAGGAAAACAGAAAGTTTATGGAGGAAAACATGGTCCACTGTGTTCTAATTGTACCCACAGTGGTTTTCTCTCTCTCTCCCCCTCTCTCTCTCCCCCCCCCCTCCCCACACACACACACACATACACACACATCCCTTTCTCATAGATTAGATACTGGATACCATGATAAATTATATCCCCATAATGTTTAGGGTAGGGTTTCTTGGCCATTCTAAGTTTGGTGTGTCTCCTGTTGCACTATCTTCCTAAGAACGTGCACATCAGTAGCCAGCCAACATATAGGGCATTTGGATATTTTATCCTGGCCATATATGGTCCATTTCCATTTCCTTCCTCTCTTTCTCTTTTCCCTCATTAACTCTCTCCCAGTTGCCTTTATTAACATCAGCACAATTTTTTAAAAATTTGCTTAGCCAGAAACTTGAGTGTACATGCATATTATGGGCTGAATTTTGTCCTCGCCAAAAAAATTTCATGTTGAAGTCCTAACTTGCAATATCTCAGAATGTAACTGTATTTGGAGATAGAGTCTTTGCAGAGGTGATTAAGTTAAAATGAAGTTGTTAGGGTGGACCCTAATCCACTATGATTGATGTCCTTAGAAGAGGAAATTTGGACACAGAGGGAAGATGATATGAAGACACAGGGAGAAGATGGCCATCTACATACAGGCCAAAGAGAAAGGATTAGAACAGATCCTTCCCTCACAGCCCTCAGAAGGAACCAATCTTATGACATGTTGACTTCCAGAACTGAAAGAAAATAAATTTCTGTTGTGTAAGCCACCCAGTCTGTGGTACTTTGTTATGGCAGCCCTAGCAAATTAATATAGTATATTTGGCTCATTCTGCTCCTTAATGCAGCAAATGCAAAAAGCCTGAGGCAAAAAGAAACTGAGCTGTTTAGGGACCAACAAGGAAGGTAGCAACTAAAGCAGACGCAGAAAGGGAGAAAATAGCAAAAGCTGAGGGGAGGGGAGGAACTTGGGTAGGGTGGGGGTTGGTGTATCACAAGGACATTGTCAGAATTGGGGTTTCACTCTGGGATGGGGAAACATATTTTACAGTTTCTGCCTTTCTCCTCTTTGGTGGCAGGGGGGACAGTAAGTAAAAATAAATGACTCCTAAATAACAACAAAAAATGTATTACTCAATTACCTTCTCTGGGTAAGGTTTATGACTGTGCTGTACTTCTTCCTTTCTCCAAAACATTTTCATAACATATTCTTTTTTGGGAGGGAGAAGGGATGGGGTCTTGCTGTGCTGTTCAGGCTGGTCTCAAACATGTGGCCTTAAGTGATGCTCCCACCTTGGCCTCTGTAACATAGAACCTTAAACTTTCTTCAGTTGCTACTTCCACTTCACCCTTTTCTCCTTCAGTCCTACCTTATGTAACTTTGCTGTAAGATGTTACCAGAAAGAACAGAAAAGGGGAACAAGAGTAGTGGCTCACGCCTATAATCCCAACACTTTGGGAGGTCAAGGTGGGTGGATCACTTGAGCCTAGGAGCTTAAGACTAGCCTGGGCAACATAGTGAAACCCCATCTCCACCAAAAAAAAAAAAAAAGCAAAAACACACAAAAAATAAAAAATTAGCCAAGCATGGTGGAATGCACCTGTGGTCCCAGCTACTCAGGAGGCTGAGGCAGGAGGATTGCTTGAGCCTGGGAAGTGTCTGAGCCTGAGAAGTGGAGGTTGCAGTGAGCCAAGATCATGCCACTGCACTCTAGCCTGGATGACAGAGGAAGGCCCTGTCTCCAAAAAAAAAAAGAAAGAAAAAATGGAAATAGAAAAATAATTTTTCTCACATGCAAATATTAAATACTGAATTTTAAGTCAACTTTAGGTCTTCTTTGAAGTGCTCCTTCAATCTTTTAACGTGAACTTTTCATTTGATATTATGCCATGAAAGTTTGATAGTAACTGATTCATGGTATAGCTCTTTGTTTTTGATAATGCATTTGTTTCCAATATTATTTTTATTCAGAATAAAAGTAGCTATAATCTAACCTAATAATAATTGAATAAAACATGAAGAAGAAATGAGTCTGATTAAAAATAGTGCAGAAACACTATTGAGATAGGGAAGGCTTATTAACAGAATGTGAACACGAGGAATAAGCCTGCTCAAGAACAGATGAGAATAATAAGCTCAATGCAGAAAACGAAAATAAAGATGATAGCCAGCTCTCCCTGGGACATGAATTTCAGTTGCTTTTAAGATCTTGGGGATAACTTGACCTGATCTCCTGTTCTTCCATTTGTTCGTCTCAAAAAAATGGAGCATAAGCTGGCCAGGTAGGAGTCTAATTTTGGTCACAGAACAAAGCCCCAAGCTATTTAGATCAGAACAGGATTGATGTAGTTCTAAATTGGGTTGGATATCCTGCCAATGGAACCAACTTATCTTGGGCAAGTGTGAAAGGATTGAAAGCTTGCGCATTGGACATAGTAAATTTCTCCTAGGGTATTCAAACATTTCAAAGAGAGAGCCTCTACTTATAAAAAGGCATTGAACACATATATTAATGAGAAAATGTACAACTTAAGAGAGGATAAGGTAAGAGTTACTAAAGCTAAACATTTCTATACTTTATGATCCATCAATCTACTCCTGGGTAAATACCCCCCAATAAAGAAAGCATATGGAAAATACATGTATAAGAATGTTCATAGTAGCTTAGCTACCTGTTATGCAAATACTTGACACACAATAGGTGCTCAATGTGAACACAATGTGAACACATTTTTGAACACATCTCTATTTCCCACATGTGGCTTCACAGACCAAGTGGTACAAATTAATTGCATATATTTATCTATTAATTCAGATGCCTTGGTTCATCATTTCAATAACATGTGCCAGGACCTTAAATGCCCCAGCTCACCTTGCCTTTTGCACACGTCTAAGAACACTCAAATCATGGCTAATCCCACATTTTAGGTAAGTAATTGGTATAACTAGAGAAAATTAAAAAACAGGGTTAGTTGATTTAACCCTAAATTCATGATGACCTACCCCCAAATTGCCTAGGAATCCCTAAAGTTTCACCATTAGTTCTCTTTCTCATGGGTCACATAACTATTTCAAACCTCTCTCTAGAGAGAGAAATGATGGTCAAAGCTTTACATATCATCAATTTCAACTCTCCCATCCTCCTGACATCAAGATACAATACTTCTTCCATAGACAGATGTCTTAGCTGCCTCCTCTCCTGAAGTTCCAGACAGGACTATGCCTGTCAGTGGCCATTTCCTTCACTCATATTAGGAATGCTTCTCCTCTGCCCTTCTCAGATCTAAACAACATCCGTTCCTCTCCATTCTGTGTATTCAACTCTGACTGGAGTCTGTTCACTGTCTTTTAACCAAGCTCAAGATTTTCCCATTAAAGCAACAGCAAAGAGCTGTTGTTTTGCAGCAGCAAAAACAAATCACTTTACTCAGTCTTCTTTTCTTCTACCTACTGCTATCTCTTTCCTGCCCTTCACAGCCAAATTCTCCCAGTTGTCCACACATCTGTTTCCACATGTTCATCACTCATTTATTTTTTAACTCTCTACTGTCTTCCAGCTCCTCCACCCCACAAAAAGAGCTCTTTCTAAAATCACCATTGACCTCTGCATTGCCTAACACAATGAGCATTTTTCAGTCGTCTTCTGGCTTAGCCTCTCAACAGCATTTGATGCTCCTGAACACTCCTTTCATCTCAAAACAAAACTCCCTAACACAGCGCACATATTCCTTGGCCTGCCTGCTCCTCTCTCTCTAAGCTCATCACCTGCCATGTTCCTCCTCACTGCCCCAGTTCCAGATATTTCTGGCCTCTTTCTATCCTTTACTCTCACCAAGCTCCTGCCTGTGATAAGCCTTTGCACATGATGTTCCCTCTGCCTTTCCTTCTTTCATTTCCTGGTTCACTTAAACTCAAGCTTCAGACATCACAGTAAGTGCCAGGTATTGTGGCCCTTGACAAAGCCAAAGTGCCCTTGTACTTCTTCCCGTAATAGTTGTCGAGATTGCACGTTTGCATCTGGTTTACTGAATATTTAATAGATGACCAATTTCATTACTACTACTATAAGCTCCACAAGGGTAAGGACAAGGCTTAATCACCATTACATCCCAGCATTCAGCATGGTACCTGCCATTGGAGGATATAACGGGATGGCCAGCCTTGCACACTAGTAGAGATGGATTCTGCACTCAGACTGCCTGGGCTCAAATCTTACCTCTGCCACTTGCTGATTTGAAATATTGAGCATGTTACTTAATTTCTTTGCACCTTGGTTTTCTCATCCATCCAGTGAGAATAAAAATACCTGTACTACTACCTTCCTCAAAGCGTTGTTGTGAAGGCTAAATGATTTGCTAGGAGTAAGGTGTTTAGAAGAGCCCCCGCTAAAAAGTAAGCTAAGTTCTCAATAAATGCTGGCTGTTATAACAATCATTACTCTTGAGTAAATAATAAAATAACAAATTCATGAATTGGCCTGCAAGCAGAACACCTGTAAGTTTCTGTAGCACTGTTTTTTCTGTTTCTAGCCTGAGGCATCTTAATATCACCTTCTGCTGGGGGAAAAACTTTGCAGACCACACTGAGAAACTGAAACTAGAATTAGACAATACTGTCTTATTAATTCAATGATCTTTACCATTCTTATAGCCACATGGGCCCTATGGCCATTTTTTTAACTTCTATTTCATAAGCATATATTTCATATTGTTACTTTGATAACTGAGAATTGAAGACACTTCATGTTCAAATTAGAAATTTTTTGTGCTATGAAAGACTTTATGTGGGTAGAACCAGCCCTTCTTTTCAATGAGTAGAAAATCGAGGCTAACAAAATTCAAATGACCAACAGTAAGAATCCAGACCCAATCCAGACTTGAGTGACTGACTCAGGCCACTTGGCTCCACTATCCCAAGGTGAGATGCTGGTTTTTCAGGTTGTTTTGTGTGGCACAAAACTTCACATATTTTCTAGCATACACTACCGGTTAAATATGTAAACCTACTTTATTAAAAATTCATATTATTCTATAATCTATCTTTAAGAGAAGATTAGATTTGAGGTCTTTAGAAATAATTTATTGAAGATTAAGATAACTATGCAGACAGGCCGATTATTACAGAAAGTACAGTGTTATTAGCAAACAAAATTGAAAATGAATACTCAGGTGCTCCACTTACTGCTTTATCTCCCAGAGCTGTTCTGATACTAAGTCTCACTTTAAAAGCATTTTCTGCACCTGCCAGAAAGAAAAAAGAAAGAGCAGTATATGATGATTAAGATTTGCCAAAACACAGTCTGAAAAATCTTAATATGTAATACAACTCAAACCAACAGAACATAGAGCTACAATTAAACTGCCCCAAATACTCCTGGAAGTGTAACCTAAATCATCTTAGATGGTTTAACATTTTCTTTCAAAGTCATTAAACACAGCCCCAACTTTCAAGCCACAACATGTCTGCAGATTTAGGAAAATAAAGAGTTCTTTCAGTCAATGACTTGTCAATCATGTAGAAAACTGTTCATCTATTTTTAAGTTTCAAGGCTACATACCTGGTTGACAGAGTTCAGCATGAATAGCGGTCACCAGAAAAAACAGCAGCCACAACATTCTTTCAGAGTGGAAAACACAAGGCAAAGTGAGAAAAAAAAATCCACGCTGCACTTAAAGCTGCCTTAGCCATTCTGTGACCCGGATTAGAATATCAGAGAAACAAGCGAGCCACCACCTAAAAGGTTTAATGATTAACACCCATCATTTGGGTTAATACTTCCATAAAATCAGCCCATCTCCTGTCAGTTATTTATAAAAACCTGTTTGGAAAACAGATTAGTTGTTTTCCCCATGCCAACTCTACCTCAAAAGAATGTTTCCTCATCTGACTCAAAGGTGGAATCCTCCCCTGACCCCTTCTGCGATTCTCTGATTAGATACATGGTGGGAAGAATTGAGTCCTGTCCAGAGGTTTTCTTGGCATGCACTTTCTACCTTTTCGAGGTTGAGACACCTGGTTCATAGACAGGCTATCTGCATTCAGGAAACAAACGTGACTCCTTTCTCTCTCTGGTGAACAAAGGGTGCCCTCCGTCAAGGGCCTCACCTGACTCTCACCACAACAGGTGAACATCCCAGGAGAGCTACGGAGCTTCCACTTCCAACACAGGGAACGACTGTGTTCAGCCCTGAGGTCTGACACTTGAGTTAAATCAAACTTAATGATACAGAGCAGCACTGTCCGAGGGACATTCTGTGGCGATGGGAATGTTCTCTATCTGTGCTATCCAGTATGGCAGCCACTAGAGGTAAGGGGCCATTGAGCACTGGAAATGGAGCTAGTGTTGCTGAGAAAGGGAATTTTTCTTTAATTCAATTTAAGTAGGCACATGGGGCTACTGAGTAGTACTTTGATCAGTACAGCAATATAACAGTAATTAAGAGCTACCCACCCTGAAGTAGCTTCACTGGGTTATTTCTCTAATCCTCAGACAACACTTCACAATTGCTGTTATCACATGGGAGGGAACTCAGGCTCCAGCGTTGAAGTCATTGGCAGCAATGGGATGAGTGGGATGGGTGTCACTTTACCAGCGAGGTGGACTTACACTTGAACCCTGTCTCCACCACACCCAACTGCTCTGCGTCTCTGGTCATCATTGGTCAACACTGAAATTGACCAAATACCACATGGTCTCACTGGTAAGTGGGAGCTAAACATTGAGTACACATGGACACAAAGAAGGGAACAACAGACACAGGGACCTACCTGAGGATAAAGGGTGGGAGGAGGGAGAGGATCGAAAAACTACCTATCGAATACTATGCTTATTATCTGGGTGACAAAATAATCTGTACATCAAACTCCCGTGACACACAATTCACCTATATAACAAACCTCCACGTGTACCCCTGAACCTAAAAGTTAAAAAAAAACCTGAAGTTGCAACAAAACCTCAGAGATGCTCTAAGAATTAAGATAATGAGTGTAAAAGAATCTTTCCACTGGTGGGCATTGCACAGATGCCAATCGACACCCCACCCAGAGGTTGATGTCAGGGCTTTCCTCTCTACCATGCTGCCTCTTTATAAATTCAGCCCCCAAATTCCACCCCATTCCTGGAAAATTATGAATGGCAGAATTAGATTGGGTGACCCTGGTGTTAAATAGAAATATGGGATTTTCAAAGCAACAACGGGGAAAATATCAACAATGAGATTTCTGCAGCACTTTGAGAAACACATCATTTCTCCTTCCTTGTAAGGGTGGTATTTTATTGTAAAGGACCCATTTCTGTCTGCCAAATCCAGCTGAGAAAGTTTTTCTCATCTCCTTCACCTTGGTTGCAAGGACAAGGAGTCAGGAAAAGCTGTACTAAAAGGAGAGGCACCACAAGTTAGCCCAGCCATTCTAGCAATGTCACTATATTAGGTGCGATGGAAATTTCCAGAAGGAAGAGCTCACCTAGCTAACCCCTGAGAAAAAAACAAAGGCAGACTAGATGAAGTCATCTTGGGAAATGTTAAACTAGATAAAGTCATCATTGGAAGGAAAAGTCAATATACATAGAGATAGAGATTGTAACAAAGCATTTTATTTGCATCAAGGAAGAAAGCTACGTGAAGGACATAGAAATCTGCTTCAGCTTCTCTTTAGCCTTACACTACATAAAAGTATCTGGCCAGGCGTCGTGGCTCACACCTGTAATACCAGCACTTTGGGAGGTCGAGGCAGGTGGATCACCTGAGGTCAGGAGTTCAAGACCAGCCTGACCAACATGGAGAAGCCCCGTCTCTACTACAAACACAAAAATTAGCTGGGTGTGGTGGCACATGCCTGTAATCCCAGCTACTCGAGAGGCTGAGGCAGGAGAATTGCTTGAAGCCAGGAGATGGTTGCAGTGTGCCAAGATCACGCCACTGCACTCTAGCCTGGGCAACAAGAGCAAAACTGCATCTCAAAAAAAAAAAAACGTATCAAGTGGCTCTCTTGGCTTTTACTAGTCATCTATGTAACTAGGGTTGAAGACAGTAAAACAGAGTCTTAGTGTAAGTCATTCATTTGAGAAGACAATCTCTTTTGAATTATGGTTTCTCGATGTTTTTTGTACCATCTTTTAAAAAGAGCAACAGAAATTATTTTTAGAAAGTACAAAGAAGCACCAGGAGAAACATAAAAATCACCTGTAATTCCACCAGCATCAACGAGTGACCAATGTTAATGTTTTCTAAATATTTGGAAGATAACTTTCTGCCTTGTGTTTTCTTTTCTGTGTATATATGTAAATACATGTACATTTTTTCTTAAAAGGAAAACTGGGATCATGCTATTATGCAGCTTTGTCATCTTTGTTGAACTTGTGTTTTGTTGTTTGTTGTTGTTTTTATGGAGACAAGATCTTGCTCTGATGCCCAGGCTGGAGTGCAGTGGCACCATCATAGCTCAGTGCAGCCTCGACTTCGTGGGCTTAAGCAACCCTCCTGCCTCAGCTCCCTGAGTAGAAACACAGAAATCTGCTTCAGCTTTCCTTTAGTCTTGCATTTCTTAAAAGTGAAAATTTTCTTCATAAGATTTTACTTAGTCATTTATGTAACTAGAATTGAAGACAGTAAAATACTGAGTTTTAGTCAGCATAAACCATTCATCTGAAAAGGGAAGACAGCCTCTTCTTATTTCATTAAGATTTCTCAGTATTCGTTTTCTCATTTTAAAAAGGATTGAAAAAAGCAATAGATATTCTGTACAGACAATACAAAGAAGCAAAAAAAAAAAAAAAAAAAAAAAGTAGAAAACATCCATAATACTACCAGAATGAATGACCAATGCTAATATATTTTCATAGTTAGAATGTGCCTTCCTTAGCCTTGGGTCTCTTTATATGTTCTTATGGGATGTTGTTTTTTCTCAATGCAGTGGCACTGTCAGAACAGAATAATATAATGATGGGAATAAGAAGCACCCTTATCTTCTTCCTTACTCTAATAGGAATGCTGCTACTCCATGGAATCTGGCAAGTGGCTTTAAAAATAATATGCCATGTGATAAAAGCATTATATTTGTAAATACAAAAAAATTTTTCCTCAGTAATTGTTGTTGCATTTTATTGACTGCCTTTTCACTATTAAATTTTTTACCATTTGATGTATTACATTAATACATTTCTTACATTGATTCAATTCTTAGATAAAACTTTTTGAAAATTTATTTTTAGCATGCTGCTGGAATTAATTGCTGGTTTTTCCCCTAGGATTTTAAAACCTATTTTCTTAAAAGAATATCATGTAGGTTCCTTTTCAAGTGCTGATTCTTGAAGGGTTTTTTTCCTAGCCTTTACCATCTTGAAAATGATATAGAAAGATTTCTAACATTGTCTATGTTTAGAAATATTTATAATGTATAAGAAATAAAGAGTTCACAGATGAAGAATCTGGACTATGTATATTTTCGAGGAAGAGCTCTTCAAAATTTTTCATTTCTTACATTTATTTCAGGTTTTATAATTCTTTTTGAGTCCATTTTGGCTGTTTACAATTTCCAAGAAAATATTGTTAAGATTTTCTAGTATTCTCATGGGCTTTATAGAATATTTCCCATAAAATATCTACTTTTGTTGCTATGTTCTCTTTATATTTTCTAATATGTGTATTAATTTTCTCTTTGCCCATTATATTATCTATTTTGTTGTTGTTTAATCAAAGAAGATCTTGAATATAATTTGCAATTTTTTCTGGTTCTTGATTCATAAATCTTATTTGTATTTTTTATATACTGTAACAAATTCATTGTTAAATAGTTTAATGGAGATCTCAGTAAAATAAATGGAAACAGAACTAGATACTAGGGTTCTTGCCTCTCAACATATTGTATTTTCTTACACTTTTCAAAGTCTTGCACAAATGTAGTGCTTGTCTTGATGTACAACTTTTAAGTAATAAGTTTCCAGAGTCTTCATATCTGTGTAAATTGCTTCATAAACTGCTCATTTCAGCAATTTCACATATGGGAGCTTAATAACTTAATAGTAACGATAGTAATGATGACAAATAAAGCAGTTTCAATCATTTTGAATATGTTACTATTTACTTCCAAATGTTCAGAGGCTACAGCATACAGATTTAAAAGTTCAGATTACTGTTGCCATGAGCCATATAAAAAGGCATTGAGTCTCCTGAGATGGGAAAAAGAAATTGATTTCTCCATGTTTTTTATACTCTGCAACGCTTTTGAAAAGCACTTTCTGGGCACATAACTATTGATCTACTGCTATGGGGTAAACAGAATATGAGATCACATGGAAAGAAAACATGTGTGTTGTTCTTCTAATTCATGCAAGATGCCTTGTTAAGTTCACTAGAGTCGTAAAACCATGTGGACATATGTAGGCTCCATTCACCTGCAATAAAGCAAGAGATGGAGATGACCAATGTTTCTTTTTAAATTGACCCTGATTATTTTGTTTCATTATCACAGACAGAAATTTAGTAAATATATAGCTCCTAAAATTAGTAAACTGTAAAACCATCTAAAATGTGATGTTACTCTGTATATTTTTATTGGGTTTTGAGAAATGAATCTAGGTGTGACATATTAAAAAAATCAAATGAAACTTTTAATAATTGAACATAGAAACTTTGTGTAAGATTTTAAAACTTCATACTTTTTGCAGCTGGGCATGGTGGTTCATGCCTGTAATCCCAGCACTTTGGGAGGACGAGGCAAGCAGATTGCTTGAATCCAGGAGTTCAAGATAAGCCTGGACAACATGGCGAAACCCCACCTCTACAAAAAGTACAAAAATTATCCAGGCTTGGTGGCATGCACCTGTGGTCCCAGCTACTCAGAAGGCTGAGGCAGGAGGATCACCT